GAGTCTTTTACGGGGGTTCTCACCCACAACCCCCATCATGCAAGAAACACAGCGGTTTTATTGGCTCTTCCACGTCCCCCTGACCTGGGTCCCCTTTGGGGCCCAGGCTCAAGTATCGGGTTTTGAGAGTAAAGGGAACAGTATGCCCGCAACCGCGAATTAGGGACTTTGAGCTCTGACAACTGTGCAAGACCCTCGTTCAGGTATATACGTGCGGTTTTCGCTGCGGCCCACCGGCCTTGAAGCAGCAATGTATCGAAACTCCCGTGGTGTTGGAAGAAAAACGTCGCGCCGCCTTGCCGAAGCGAGTACGGCCTCAACCCCAATTCTGTGAGCTGAAGGCGCTCCAACGCCTGGTTGAAAAGTTTCCTCCAAGCATGTGCCTTTAAAGTCAAAAAGGAGTTCGGAGTACTTCGACGTTTCCAGCTATACAAGGAGGGGAGTACAGATGTATCATGGATGGTGACGCTTTCACTGGCCCCCTGGCGGGCCCCAGACTTTGTAAGTCCTAGGGAAATGACTGCTGGACCTTTAGGACTTGTGATGTACACATCTTTAGAGGTGAGGCTTAAAAGTTCGCCTGTGCGCAACAGGCCAAAAAAGGCCAACCTCAGACTGAGACCAAACTCAGGCTTCCCTTGCATTATACTCCAGCCGCAGAGTGCATCGAGGACAGTCAGAGTCATTGGCGGAGCGCGGTTTGGTATCTCTGCTGTGGACCAAGCTTTCAACAAGCGCCAGCTGCCTGGCAGCTTTCGCCGAAGGTTGGGGTCAAAGTCCTGAAGGGCCGCGAGGGCGTTATTTGCCTCTGATTTTCCGTGGCCTTCGGCCCGCAAATACTCCAGATAGTCGGAGACCAAGTTGTCCATCTGCACAACACGCTTTGGGAGAACTAGGCCCTCCCGTTCCAACCAGGAGAAGAATTGTTGCAGGCTGGCTTCATACCGCTGACGTGTTCGAGGTTGTACTGTAAGGTCTTTCAACTTGCCAAGTGTTTTTCTAACCGCCTTTCGCTGCTGCTGGCTTCGGCCTTCGACTACTTTTGACGTTTTCTTACCCATTTCCGATGTAACGGCCGGCGCGACGGCTTGTCGGCCGGGTTCTGATGAGTGTCAATGTACCCCCAGGTACCTTGAAGGCCACTGGCCAACAGCATAGCGGCGATCTTAGCAAGCGTCCTCCGCAACTTTCGAGAGCTGGACCTTCCTCGACTGAGCGCATGTAGTACAACCAATGAATCGACAAGGTGTAGAAACCGGGTCCTCTGTTCCTTGAGTTCACGAATTCTCCAAGCTAGCGCGGTCTTCACAGCTCGAAGCTCAAGTACGTTGATGTGTTCAGGCGACCCTGTCCACTGCCATCCTGCAACCTCCTTCCAGCGCCATAGTTTTCCTGGAATTCAAGCCCTCAACCGATGGTATCGAGCAGGGATGTCACTGCCCATTTGCAGTAACAAGTCTTCGCCCTTCACCGAAACCTGTCCCAGCAAGCGCCTAACAAGTCCTGCGTTCGGTCCTCCTTGCTGTGTGGTGCGTCTCAACGGTGGTCTGAGGAGCAAACTTGGGAGGGAGTCCTCCTCCCCTGGTGTCAAGCGTCGCACTATCTCACGCATAGTCAAGGGGGTGTTCAGGCCCAACACGCAAAAGAGTGAGTGAAGCAGATAGCAAATCACCGGAATCGACCATGTGTTCCCCAGCAAAGTCAACCGACAATCATTCCAGGCTGGGAAGTGCTGCTGACTTTTAGGATAGCATTTTGCAGTATAATCCAGTGGAAAGCCTAAGATGCACTCACGTTCCCGAGTGTTGGGTGTGCGCACCTGCGTCCCATTGGTGAGGCAATTCACTGTTTTATATTGGTATGGGGGGAACCGATGTTGGTCCTCCCTCCACCTTTCAAGCTCAACTGCTGAACACAACTCAATGCCGGCAGGCTTGCGCCCGGGTGTAGATGAAGGTCGAGACGTCGTGAACGTCGGCAACACCTGCTGTGGAACACATAGCTGCCAACCTGGCTCATAGTCCTTCTCATCTACGGCAACCTCAAGGTGAAGTCTTCCTGCCAAGGGCAACCTATGCCTCTCATCCTCCACCTTACGCGCGCCCTCGATGACAAGAGGTTCCCAAGTGAACCAGTACAAGCGGGGCCGACGAGCCAGACTGACTCCCCCAGCGTCTACCAACCAGGGGGCGCCTTCGTACGCCTCATTCATTACACTGCAGTCACGAGCGTCCATCGAGGCCACGTTCTCGGCAATGCGATAGACCGGGCACCACCGGAAGAACCTGCGGAGCAACTGCTCAACCCTGGGCACGTGAGCAAACAAGCAGGATCTGGCGTCTTTCAGCGCGCCTTTGCGGTCTGAGTTTAACCCTGAGACTCCCTGACACGGGGGTCCAGCGCCTAGAACCACAGCGCACACGCTAGGATAGAGCAAGCTCCAACTGCTGACCTCATGCTCATCGATCAAGGCTACATCAGTAATGCGCTTGACTTCTGGAAACCAGCTCTCAACAACACGCCGAGCGTCCTCGGAGATCTCTGCTGAGATGTACCCGGCAACTGGTACTCACAAAGCGTCCACTGCCACCCTGAGTGCGCCAATGCCATCAAACAAGGAGACTATCAGGATCGGCTCCACATCCTCCTGGGAGAGAATGTCTCCCCTGCAGTGCGCCTGTGCGGCGGCCTGGCCATAGGGTGACAACTCCTTGCTCACGCATAGACCTCCTCCACTCGTTGATGCATCACTGGCCGTGACCTCGTCCGAAATCCCCATGCGGAAGTCCATGAACGCCAACGGAGTCATGGCAATAAACCTGAGCAACTCAAGCGCAACAGCATCCCCCAAGGCCTCCCTTTTCGGATGGGAGACTTCACCAAGCTCGACAATCCGTCGCCACACCGCATTCAGTCCTGCCAACAATGGTCGTCGGAACATGGCAATGTACACAAAGCCCCCGCCAACAATCTGCAACTCCTTTTGTGAGGCCCTGCCTCGTATCAACAACTCACAAGCAAGCCGCACATACTTTGCCACCTTTTCCCCTTTAGGGGTCGCAGTTCCTGCTTCACCATCCAACCAAGCACCTTGTACTTCAGCCCTCAACTCTTGGGTTACGGCTTTCTTCGGGTGCCGAGGCAGTCCCAAGTCTTCATATGTTTGCCGCACCGCCAAGGTCCAGGCTGAAGGCTTTCCTGTCAACGCCTCCGCCGTCCTGCTGTCCACCTTTTGCAACTCGTCATAGTTGTCCAAGTGTAGACCCGGTATAGATGCTCTGCTGTGGAGGCGACGCGATCACGGCGTAGCTCTTGGTGTCTCCCTGCTAGGATCTTCTCGCCCCGAAGTGCTCGACTGATCACACGCCGGTGCACATGCTGGGCGATTGCCGCAGAGTTGATGAACCCCATCGGCAACACTTGGGTGACCAGGTGCCACCCTTGTCCAACAAAGCCTTCTGGGAGGGCTTCTGCTGGAACCTCCCTTGCAAAGCCCATGTACTTCCACCATGAAGCTGGGGTTCGAAACAAGTAGAAAAAACAGATGAAGTGATGAGAAGCTGGCCGTCCTCTAGAATCACCGAGGACATGCCAACTATGGTGGGCAGAGTGGAGGTGTCTCCCACCAGGCTTCTGCATTGGAACGAGGTTCATAATGAGCCTACACACCTCAAACGACCTGCCCTCACTATCTACCGCTGTCTCCTGCTTGCTAACAGCAAATAAACCGTTTAGCAAGGGTCGCCCATCAACATGATGTAACTTGGACACATGCATCAGTTGACAAACCCCCTTCCTCAACAGTCCCGCGCAGACCTCGGCCCAGTGGCGCTGCTCCACCATGATGGTCGGGGTTCGTCCCAGTTTCTGGTCCTGGGCAGGCAACAGGAAGCTCTCGAAATCCTTAATGTACTGCAACGTACCTTCACCACAGAAAAGCTCCAGATCTAATGACCCTACGGCCTCAGGCATTGCCGCCTCCACCATCTTCCATTGGAATGACCGAGCTACCTGCACCTCTTCACCCGAATAATCCACGGTCTTGGTCTGGAAAAGTCGATGGAAGTCCAACAGGTTTGAGTTCGATACCACACCATGCAACCGTTCGGTCAGCTTTCTCCTAATGTCGTCTTCTTTGGTCCTGGTTCGTGTCCTAGTCCCATAAAGTGAATTCAACGCACGAATCAATGCATCTGTGCTGGGTGTTGATGTTCCGGGAAGTCCCAAGGCACTAGCCAGTGGCAAGGGGAACAAATCCCCCTTGGGCTGGCTGCAACGCTCAAACAAACTTTCAACCACTGCCAATGCTCGAGACAACACCTCTCCCAGCTCAGCAAAACTAAATCCTTTTTTCAAGCAACACTGCTCTAGTTCGATGCGGCACGGTTCGAAAGCCAGTCGCACGCTCGAGCTTGTGCTGCTCTCCTTCAACTCACGGTGGCCCACTCGACTTGAGTCTCCACCATTCACTTGGGAGGGGTCTCCGAACTCCCCCTCCCCTCCAACCAATGCGGGCTCCTCTGACAAAGTTGGCTCCCACTGCGCTGCAATCCGATTTTGGCACTGGGAGTCAGTCAGCGGTCCCTTCGGGAAAATCGACTCCCCTCCAACTAAACCCAGCATGGCCCTCTCGGCTGCTAAGCCCGGTTCAGCGGGCAGGGGTAAACTCTCTGTAGGCGCCGATCGCGACATGCGACCATGGCCCTGGCCTCCATCCTCACAACCTCTTCTTGCCTTTGTCACTCTTTGATCCAAGCCTTTTCGTTCACACTCCTGTATCAACCTGTCAATGCTGTCATTCTCAGCCTCTGCTACAATGTCCTGCTCGACCAATGCACTGCCAACCCCCTCTCTCTTCAATGCTCTTCTGACCTGACTTTGTTCACACCTGGGGACTTCTTCCTTCTTTGAACTCGTCATCATTGCTTGTCTTTCTTTTTCCCTTTGCCTTTCCCTTTTCCTCCTTTGTCTCCTTTCTCCCGTCCCTCAGGTGTATCAGGTCTGTTCTTTGCTTTGCCAGCGTCTTTGCCCCCCATGTTGTACGGCCGCTGCACAGCACTCCGATTCCTGGCTTCTTCTCGAGCCAGGCGAGCCGCTTCTGCACCTTCAGCTCCTTGACTGAGCCCAACTGAGTCAGCTGACACTAATTCCAACTGACGCGCAACTGTCCAATGCGCTCCACGAGCTTGTTGTTCTAATGCTTTGAACCTTTGGGATAACAAGTCAACGGCCCGTGCAGGATGGCCACGAAGAAGCAAGTCAGCCGTCTGGCTGATTGTAAGGAGCTCCTGGCCCATTGATGGCGACACCAAAGAGTGCAGCTCACTGCGATAGTACTGCGTGTAGAGCGGGGGCAAGGACTTCCGATCCAAAGAATGCAGCGTACCGCTACTTGTCAATAGCGATTCTTTCATTCCAGCGATCGTCTGCGCCCCCAAACATCCTGGGTAGCGCTGGGTCAGACGCAAAGCCCTCTTCTTCTCTGAAAACAGCCCTTCGCCTGTCTCTGCCAAATCCTCCTCCTCTGATGTCGAACTCCCGGATGAAGAATCGTCACTGGAGGAATGCTTCCTTTTGCGTCCCTCCTTCTTTCCAAGCTTCCGAGCTTTCCTCATCAGCTTGGATCGCTCCTCCACTCGACGGTCCAAGCAGGTCCCACCAAACAGGCTCTTCAAGCCTTTCTGGCCTCGATCGACCACAGCCTCTTCACTTCCTTCTTTGTCTGACTTGCCCTTATCAGGCTTCTTCTCTTTCTCCTTCGCCTTCTTTTTCTTCTTTCTTTTCTTCTTTTCTTTCTCCTCCTCATCACTGGGAGATTCTTTCTCCCCTGCCACTGCTTTGCTACGAGCGGCATAGTGCTCCCTCAACTTGGCCAACTCGTCCGGCTCCTCGGGCGCTGTCTTCACCTCCTCAAACATTGTATGCCATGGCAGCTTCCGCTCACCAACCTCCCAGAAACCGGAGGCATGCAAGACGTCGGCCCCCGTCGCCGCATGCGCGCAATCCTTCGGGCAGATGTGCAACTGCATGATCCTCCGCGATGGCTCACTCAACGCTTCCACAAGCCGCTCTGTCTGAGTTCCGGTCACTTTGAACTCCAGGTAGTGAGGATGACGGCCCAAACCTGTGATATAGCCGGCCACCTTCACGAGTCCATCATAGTAGTAACCGTATGCTAGCTCCACCAACCCCAAAGATCGAAGTTGTGCCGCCGTGAGCTCAAGGAGGTAGGTGAATGAATCCACCTTCAACTCTTCTGCACTGGCTGCCGGCTTTTTTCGGGGCGGTGCAACCCTCATGGCTGGCCTTCGACGAACCGCCATCACCACCACCGGTTATTGAACTTTTCTTGCTTCGCTCTCCTCGTGATGCCCTTATTCTTGCCGGTGTACCACCTTGGATGCGAACTCCACGGGATAGGTCCAACCCACCCACGCCCTCGCCCCCTGGCAATTGGAGGCGGGCTGGCACTGCGGGCTGGTGCAGGTGGTGGATCTGGAGGTGGACCTGGAGGTGTGTGGGGGCTTCGGGCACGAGGTGGCGTAGGCAGCCTTTTGAGCTCTTTTCTCTTGGCGGCCCGCACTCGGGATCCCGACACCGACGATCCGGGACTGGTCGATCTCTTGCGCTTCTTATTGTCGCGCTTTTCCTTTTCTCTTCTTCGCTTTTCCTTCTTTCTTCTCCGTCTTGATGAACTGCTCGTTGATGTCGGGCACCTTCTCTCCTTCTTTTCCTTCTTGGTTTGGGAGTATCGTTCGACTCCCCTGGGGCTTTCTCGGCTGCTTCTTCTGGAGGTGGCTCAACTGCTCTCCGGGGTTCGGCCTTCTTCTTGGCGAACAAGCCCAAGCTGGGTGATCTCCCTCGATGACCTTCTCCCGGGGGCTGGCTGGGTCGTGGCACTGGTCGGCTCTGGGAGGTCACTCGGCTCACTTCCCTCCCTTCAACAGGCAATGTAGCTTCAGGCTTTGGCGTAGGCACGACAGGTGGGGCTTTGGGTGGTACTGCAACTTTCTCTGAACGTTCAGGCTGGATCTGCTTTTCCTTGCGCTCTTCTTTTCTCTTCAAGGGGCTCCTCTCCACTCGACGACTTTGGCCCGTCCTTCGCTTCCAACTCTCGGATCTTGGTGATCCACTCCTCTAGCAGCGTGAAGCACTTCTGCAGGTAGACCACGGCGGACTCGTCCTGGTCAGGAGGCACCACACTTCGGAGTGACACGTGCAGCTGCCAGCCCTTGCGGCACGGTTCACAAGTGGACAACCCACTCGACCGCACCACAAAGTGCTGGCAGCGCTCACACACTGGGAGGGGGTTCTCACGCCCCCCTCCCATCAAACTCCCTTAAAGAGCCCGATGCTACGGTGAAAACGGATAGGTTCTGTGCTTAGCTATGAGGACATTTATCCATACACTATATATTATGTGCTAACGTGATTCTCTAATCTTATCATATACCATATGTATGACTGTATTATTATTACTATTATTATATATATATACTAGATTATACTAGTATGTGATAGTATGTGTGTGTGTGTTTGTGTGTGGCCCGCCAAGTTTCAAAAAGTTCTGCACACTGACCCTGCCAGTGTGCTCTGGGTCAAACAGCGCCAATGTTGCCTTCCTCAAAAGCCGAGCTTGTTGGTCAATATTGAATAGCAACCATGTCTAGATTGATCTTGCCTGAAAGGCAATTGTCAGTCTTCAGAAGGCCATGACCACAAACCAAAACCAAGCCGTGTAAACAAAACACTGCTGGGGAAAAACACAAATTTCATCTAACAATTGTTGGCAGGGTCTGCTTGGCTCCCTTTTGCAGCCTAGAATCAGGTCCGCATCACGACCTTAAAACGGAACAGCTTGGGCAGAAAGCAAGGAAGTTAGCTGAAACTGTGCAAAACATGTCAAAACATTTGTTCCTCACCTCTTGACAAAACACATCGTCTGGGTACCAACCGATCTGACATCGCCGCCGGGCCACAGTAGAGGGCTTCATAGGCATCTTTCATAAGAATTGTCTTCCAACCAATCTCAGAAAGGCAAAACACCATGCAAGCTGTGTGAAGTGAATTTTTGGTATCGGTATCTCTGCTTGGTAAGTCAATAACTATCCTCATCGCAATTGCATCCCAATCTTAAACTCTCTCAGTCCGAGATAGCAATCACAATCAGGACTCAGTACTCAATATCATCCGGTGGCCACATACACAAAAAAAACAAACAGGGCGTTCCCCATGGCGGAGAATTTAAGGTGCCAATTGGATGTTGCGCAGTTGTTGATAAACCTGTCGAGCAGCCCACTTCTCCTTATTCACAGCCACATCAAATCTGCGAAGGAAGCGACGGTAGTCCACCTGACGTTTACCTGAGCAAAGTGAGTCTCAGCGCCCCTTGGGCGGCCTCCCAAAGCCATGGGTCGCAAAGGCCTTGTCTAGCTAGCAGCTACTTGTATCAGTAGTAGCCACTCCATCACCAGTTGAATCCAAGACGCAGCAAAAAGAGTGTATAAATAGGCAGCATATCTTGGACACTCCCAGCTTGGCGTGAATGAGAATAATCAACAGAGGGAACTTCAGTGCAAGTGATGAAGTTGGTGCACACCAAGTTGATGGTGGATGTGTAAATAACAACTGATGAGAATAGCTAGGCCAAACAAGAAATCCCTAAGTGAGACAACGAAACAAAGAGGGGAATCATATCATTTTATCCTGCACCCGTGAGACCATTCGCGCACACCATACAAAAGTCGCACCCAGCCAACTCCACTGCTGCAAAACAAGTTGGGCAGCTTCCACACAATTGCCACTTTCTGGCCAAACTGCCTTGAGTGACAGGACCCACGTCCTCCTCGCCAGGTTCCTTATCCAGCAACACTAATTCAAGCGCTTTGACACTTCAGACGTGTGGTTCTATAAGATGATGCAGGAAGAAACATGCTTGGCAGAGTCACATGCAACATGATGCCCCGGTTGATTGCACGGCATTCTAAGAACAGGAGAACTCGGAGTACCAATTCATCTAAAAGATATACTGTAGGCCATCCATCATTCCACCTCACTCTATTGCACACAAGGGTGCTTTTGGAACCTCGCAAGAACCCACCATTTCCTGTCGAGTCCAGCTGTTCAAAACATTTCAAAACAACTCCAAGCCCCAGGCTGCAATGCCCCAAAGCTCGCCACCCAACGACCAGGGGAAGTTCCTGAGAACAAGCATCAATACTGACCAACAGCAATGCCCCAGACGAGGTCGATCTTTTGTATTGTGTGAGGCCGTGAGAACGTTAGCAACTCTAGGGAGCTTTTTGCAAGCTACAAGTGTTCTTAGTTGGGCTCACGCACACACACTTATGGAAATGCATACTGGTTGGAAAGCGGTTGCCACGCGCCAGCCTGGGTTCCCAAGTCCTGAACAGTTCAGGTAAAAACCCAAAGGGGCCTGGGCCTCAAACGGAAAGGAAGCCCAAAGCTCAAAAACCAGAAACAACGATCACGGATCGACCAAGATGACGACGGCCGCTCACATCTGCAGTTTGCATTTGCCTTTTACTGCAGAGTAGTGTCACAACTTGTTCAAAAGTTCAAAAGAGCAGGTACGTGCAGCTGATCAGGCTGCATATCCTGAGGTCACCATAAAGAGCTTCATTGGGCACAGCTCCTTGGGCCTCCTGTGCCCCCCTGCAGTGTTAAAAACCATCCATAAGGACCCCTGTGATTCCAAGGGGTACACACTTGAGAAGGTTTTTCAGGCTGCTTCGCGGAGTGCATTAGCCCTTTAAAGTTAGTTAGTGCATTAGCCGAGAGCATTAGCACTTTACTGAAGGAAACAACGAAGTAGACAGCTTGTGCTCTACGTAGGTTTCTCTTCAAGCAGGTACGTCAATCCGGCGTCCCGGATTGATATCACAGACCAATGCAAGCGTCTTTGTTAGTGCCAGACTTGCATGGTCCCTGGCACCCCCTGCATATTTTCTGTACAGTTGTTTGAGTTCCTGAAAAGAATAGTAGGAATAGCTAGAGTAGTGCCCTTGGAAACAGGGGTGGACACACACAGAAAGCCGAATCCGGCGCATCTAGAATCTGCCATAATATACCGATCAGTGCATGATGTCAGCCAGGTGCAGAAAGTAAACCAAATAAAGTGAAAACAGAATTGAATTGTGCAAGCAAACTCGCTTTTTCTCTCCGTGGCCGCAGCGCCGCGGCGCAGTGTTCTTTTCGACCGCTTCTTTCTCCTTTTTCTTTTTCTTTTTTTGCCGCTCATGGCGTGTCCGGAGACTGCCTACTTGGAATACAATAAACCGTCAAATCTTGGCAAATAACTTTGGCATAAGCCTCCTACGCTCGCTGCGAGCTGCTCTGTATCCGGGCAGGGGGTAGGGTCCACATGGGGCACTCTGCGGGCTCACCCTGCGCCCTCACTAAGGAGAGACACACTTCTGGAAATGCGTACTGATTGGAAAGCGGTTGCCACACGCCAACCTGGGTTCCCAAATCCTGAACAGCTCAGGTAAAGACCCAAAGCAGCCTTGGGTCTTCAAACGGAAAGGAGGCCCAAAGCTCAAAAAACTAGAAACGACGATCACGGATCGACCAAGATGACGACTTGTTCAACAGTTCAATAGAGCAGGTGCGTGCAGCTGATCAGGCTACCATAGAGAGCTTCGTTGGGCGCAGCTGCTTGGGCCTCCTGTGCCCCCCTGCAGTGTTAAAAGCAATCCATAGGGATCCCTGCAAAAAACAAAATGGTACACACACACACACGCATTTGAGAATAGAGCTCTAAAGAGCAGAGTTTCAGTGGAGATCTCATAGCATTCTATAGCGCTTTATGTTGCTGCATTAGACGGGTGCATTAGGCCTTTAGTGCAGGAACAACGTATTAAACAGCTTTGGCCATACTTATATAGGTTCACAAAATTCAAGTTGCAGGTGCGTCACGGTGATCAGCCGTGATATCCTAGTCAACTGCATGGAGCTTCGTTGGCAACAGCCACGCAGCGACTTTGTCGCCCCTTGCGATGATCTGTACATGGAAGAGTCCAATGGGAACAAGTGTAAAGTAAAATAAGGTAAATAAATAGAGTCCCTCGAAAAGGCAGGTGACATACACTCTGACACTTGTATTCAGTGACTCAATTACCACGATGGGAAGG